TCTGTCTGTCTGTCTGTCTGTCTGTCTGTCTGTCTGTCTGTCTATCTATCTATCTATCTATCTATCTATCTATCTATCTATCTATCTATCTATCTATCTGTCTGTCTATCTATCTATCTATCTGTCTGTCTGTCTGTCTGTCTCTGTCTGTCTGTCTGTCTATCTATCTATCTATCTATCTATCTATCTGTCTATTTGTCTATCTATCTGTCTTTCTGTCTTTCTCTATCTGTCTGTCTGTCTGTCTGTCTGTCTGTCTGTCTGTCTATCTCTCTGTCTATCTCTGTCTGTCTATCTATCTATCTATCTATCTATCTATCTATCTATCTATCTATCTATCTATCTATCTATCTATCTATCTATCTATCTATCTATCTATCTATCTATCTGTCTGTCTGTCTGTGTCTGTCTAACAATCTATCTACCTATCTGTCCGCCCATCCATCCATCCATCCATCCATCCATCCATCCATCCATCCATCCATCCATATGTCTGTCTGTCTGTCTGTCTATCTTTATCTATCTATAGCAAAGATGCTTTCGGTGTGAATAAGCCGATAGACTTCCATTCATACTCTTCTGTATGCAGCAACCCAGAAATGCAAGCTAGTGTGACGAGATTCACATGTCGCTGCAATCCAAATTTCAAGCTTGGTAATCTCCGATCTGTGAAATCGCATCATGTGATTGTGTGAGACCAATAGAAGATCAAAACGTGACCTCTCTGTGCAGACATGTGAAATATGTAGAATAAGTTTTATCCCGTCTCTTTTGGTAAGTGCCGTACGAGCGCGTTTGGTGTGAACCCAGCTGTGTGGGCCAATCAGAAAGGAGTAAACTGCATGTATGCTGACATCATGAGGGAAAAACTTCGGTTGTAGCGATCATAATGTTTCGGAAAATCTTGAAAAGTTTCCAAAGTTTTTCTTTCAGTCACCTTATCCTGTGTTTTCATGTGGACAATCAGGCAAACCGTGTAGAAAAACAAACTTCGGTTTTGAAAGTACTCATGTTCCTGTGGACAGGGCTTCAAATAAATCAAAAGGCTCCTAAAAGTTTGACTCAGCCTCCTCGCATTGCGTTCTGGGATGCGCCGGCCTGTGTTTAAGGAGTCAGGCTGGTGTCGCGGTCTTCGAGAGGCTTCATGATCAGGCCCTCCATGTCCTGTTGGTGTCCGGACGTCAACGAGCTGCGGAGGTCCAGGTTGAGGCAGAACATGGCTGGCAGGAGCTGGCGCGGGTACTGCTGGAGTCTCAGCATGACGTCCAGCATTGAAGAGCTGCTGCTGGACAGCCAGACGGGCAGAAGACGAGACGCGCTGGAGCTCAGCGGCGCAGACTCACAGCGCCTCACATCCAGCTGACACGACACACTGACACACAAACACATCATTGAGGGCACAGATTAGGAAAAAGTTCAGCTGAGATTAAAAAAAAAATACTAAGATTTTAATTTATATTACAAACCAACTTTACCCAGCAGTGTTTAGAACAGACTTTACAGAGCATGTTGTCGATTAACTAAGGGTTTAGTGTTTCAGACTTTTTCAGTTTAACAACATGAATTTTATTCGTTCATTCATTTTCTTGTCGGCTAAGTCCTTTTATTAATCCGGGGTCGCCACAGCGGAATGAACCGCCAAATTATCCAGCGGGTTTTTACGCAGCGGATGCCCTTCCAGCCGCAACCCATCTATGGGAAACATCCACACACACATTCACACACACATTCACACACACACTCATAGACTACGGACAATTTAGCCTACCCAATTCACCTGTACCGCATGTCTTTGGACTGTGGGGGAAACCGGAGCACCCGGAGGAAACCCACGCGAATGCAGGGAGAACATGCAAACTCCACAGAGGAACGCCAACTGAGCCGAGGCTCGAACCAGCGACCTTCTTGCTATGAGGCGACAGCACTACCTACTGCGCCACTGCCTCGCCCAGCATGAATTTTAATTGATTTAATTTTAATTAAACCTTCTTATTAATTATTTCATTTTACATTCGTAAATTAATATAATAAAAGTAAACCAAAAATTTACTTAACATGATTAACAATACTAGTATCTTGCAAAATATTTAGGAAAATATGATCTACTGTCATCATGGCAAACACAAAAGGAATCAGTTATTAGGAATTAGTTATTAGAGGTTATCAGGGGCCGCCACAGCGGAATGAACCACCAACTTATCCAGCATCCAGCATATGTTTTACACAGCTGATGCCCTTCTAGCTGCAACCCAGTACTGGGAAACATCCATACTCACTCATTTACACTCATACACTACGGACAATTTAGTTTTTTTAAATTCCCCAATAGTGCATGTGTTTGGACTGTGGGGGAAACCAGAGCACCCGCAGGAATCTAACGCCAACATGGGGAGAACATGCAAACTCCACACAGAAATGTCAGCGGACCCATCCGGGGCTCAAACCAGTGGCTTTCTTGCTGTGAGGCGACAGTGCTAACCACTGAGCCACCGTGTCAACCATAATCATATATTTATATATATCTTTATGTTTTATTATTTAAAATATTAATTGTATAAGCATTTAAAACATCAAATAAAAAGTCTAATATTAATTCTACTATTAACGAACTCTCCTTTCCTTCACTTACAATTCTAACTCCAAATGCCTAATTATAATTAATAATTTTGTGTTATTTATTTCATTAAATGTTTAAATTATATTTTATTTAGGGACATGTGATACTCTATCTAATACAATTTACGAGTTAGAAACAGATGTATAAATAAATAATTATACTAATATTAATATAAATAATAATATATTTTATGTTGAAAATTTCCATAAATTTTTAAAAATAAATTAAAATCTTAAATACATTATTATAAAGATGTCAATGCTATATAAAAAAATAATAATAATCAATATTATTATTATTTAACTCATAAAAATAATTATATTTTAATTGATAACTATAATAATATTATAAATAAAAATACTAATAATATATAGACAATTTTAATACAATTTTAATTCAAAAAAATATTTTAATAAATAATAATATTGTAATTAATAGCAATAATAATATTATTATAATTAATAATTCTAGTAATATAAAAATAATAATAATAATACATTTTATTATTAATAATAATAATAATAATATGTTAATTGATAATAATAATATTATAATTAATAATTCTAGTAATATAATAATAATACTTTTATTAAGAAAAATAATATAATAATAGTAATAACAACAACATTTTAACTGATAACAATAATAATATAATAATAATAATAATAATAATAATAATAATAATAATAATAATTATTATAATTGTAATAACAATTATTATTATTATTATTATTATTATATTATATTATTGTTATAATCAGTCCTCCAGCAGTTTCTCACCGTGCAGAAACCTGCTGTGACGCACTGCGGCCGGCGTGAGAGAAAACACTGTTGAGCAGCTTCAGCGTCTGCTCCTTCATCCAGCCCACGTCCTCCTGAACGTCCGGCAGCCACTCCAACAGCCTGAACACACAACCAGCACATCACTACAAACACTGAAACCAAAGATGCTCATCTAGTGTGAGGAAATGGTGCTCATTATTGGATGAACTGTCCCTGAATGTATTTTGGGATTTGTTGTCAAATGTTATTTGGCACACCTTTAATAGATTAATTGGCAGAGTAATTCTAAGTCACATTTGAGCACTTTCCAGATGCGTTTTCAAACTTTTGCAGCACTGCAAAAGTGGGGCAAAGTACATATTACGATGCATGATACTTACACATGCTATGATGTTTAATAAGTGTAATAAAGGATTTAAAAATCAGTTTGTGTGTCAGCAGAGAGATGTTACCTGATGCTGACCGACAGAGCCGACTCCAGAGGAAGAGTGTACGGCAACAGGATAGCAGAAGCCATTCTGACAGGCAGCATGTTGCTTAACGACTGAAGAAGACTCCGCCTCTCCCGACAGGCCTCCACCAGTGCTGACGAGAGAACACACACACACACACAAACACACACTGTCAGAAACACAGAAACAAGTCAAGCATAAGTAAATAGTGAGTGCATTTTAATCTTTGAGTAATCTGTCCCTTTAAGGTCTGTGACTGTGTGAACATTTCAATATTTCAGAGTTTAAAACATTTGGCCACAAGAAATGTTTAATAAAGTAATATACAATGAAGACTATCCATTATTCAATATCTGTACCAGAATAGTCAATACCTGAAAACTATCATTCACTTTTGTCTTTATTATATTTTATTTATCTCTGCTTGTCATTTATTTCTTATATATTATTTGAGACTCACTCCTCGAAAAAATCCCGCTAATTATTCAAACTAAACTTGTTAAACCATCTGGTGAAATTGTATTAACATCGTTAGAATTATTCGCCCCCCTGTTTATTTTTTCCCCAGTTTCTGTTTAACGGAGAGCAGATTTTCTTCAGCACATGTCTGAACATGATAGTTTCATTTCTACTCATTTCTAATAACAGTGACATTTACAGGCTTAACTACGTTAATCAGGGTTAACTAGGCAGGTTAGGGTAATTAGGCAAGTTATTGTATAACGATAGACTATCGAAAACAAAAAATAGCTTAAAGGGGCTAATAATATTGTCTGTAAAATAGCTTTTAACAAATTAATAACTGCTTTTATTCGTGCCAAAATAAAACAAATAAGGCTTTCTCCAGAAGAAAAAATATTATCAGACATACTTTGAAAATTTCCTTGCTCTGTTAAACATCATTTGGCAAATATTTGAAAAAGAAAAAAAAATCAAAGGGGGCTAATAATTCTGACTTCAACTGTACATCACAGAAATACAAAATATCATAATGTCAGATTTTTCCAGTATCGTGCAGCTCTAAATCAAGTATACAGATATTTGCCAACTAATTTCCACGACTTTTCCAAAAACTTTGTGGGTTTTTTTTGTTTTTACAAAACGTTTCCAGGCCTGGAAAATGCCACGTTAAAGTTCCATGACTTTTCCAGGTTTTCCATGAACCCTGATTATGTTTTGTTTCTGTATTTTCGTTTTGAATATCTAAGTTGTATAATTTATAAATGTGTATTTTTTTCCTTCGTTTCTTGTGAGATTTTCACCATCCTGCACTTTGTCTCCATTCCCCTAGAGGTCCCTGTGTTTCCACTCTGCCATTGTTCTTCCTTGTGTGTTCTTGTTTACTTAATTTTGATCACCTGTGACTTGTTCCAGCCTGTGTATTTAAGTTGTCACTGTAGCTGCGTCCCAAATGGCACACTATACACTATGCACTTATGCACTTACACACTCAACAGGATAGTATATGTATGTAGTGTCGTCCCAAATGGCACACTAATGTTTTTTTACTAAGCGGAAATTCAAACCGTTTCCCTGATGATGTTTGACGGTTGCCAAATTAGTGAAATAAACAAACGAATTATCAAATAATACCTGCCATGAGTATAACCACATTCACCATCAGGAGCTGCTATAATCACTCTCATAGGAGAATTTTGCTTTCACCATCCAAAATAAATAAAGTTATCCAACATGTGTTCCGATAGCTCCGCCCCTTCCGCTACGCAAGCAAACCTGCGGTCGTTGAGTGCGTGAAGTGTCCATCATTACACACTTCACTTTACCGGCTGAATGAGTGCATCATCCAGGTAATTAAAGTGCACTTATTATTGTTAGAGTTTTCAGTGTGAACACACTATTTATACTACAAATGGCATAGAATATTGCATAAGTATGCGATTTGGGACGCAGCTTTTGTCTGTGTTCCTCACTCGGTTTTTGAGTCATCTCTGGTGAACTTGCCTTGCGTTTCCCTTAATCTCCTGAGCTACGTCTAGTAAGAGTGTTTTATTTTCCTTGTTTCTTTTGGGTCCAACACAACTTCCCATGTGGCTTAGTGGTATACACACCGGTTCCCACACCAGAGACCTGGGTTCAAGACCCGACGTGACAGAGAT